GGTGATGTTGTATTTAAAGTCTTATGTAATTTTGGGTTATTTATATATTGAGGTACTCTTTTCCTCCTTCCGCTAATTACCTCTTCTTAAGAGGAAATTATGAGGGAGGTTTTTAATGAGACCTCCTATTCCTATCAAAAAAAAAAATCAAGAAAATGTCGTAATCGACGATGATTTTAATACAGATGACAAGCAAGCTTGGATTGATGCACAATGGTATGTATATAGATATATCTGTTATTGACAACGATAATTTACATGTATGTGAGCTATGCAGTCAAAAGTTGTCATGTTGCCCTGTGACTCAGTGAGTTCTTTCTTGTTCAGCTGGGAGCCCGACCCTGTTGCGGCTGACCCATCAAAAGGTAGCCGGAATAGAAGGAAGGTTGACATACTTGGAATGATTGTTGGCATAATTGGTTCAAAGGACCAACTTGTTAATGAATACCGTGTTATGCTTGCTGAAAAACTTCTGAACAAATCGGATTATGACATTGACTAGGAGATATGGACTGTAGAACTCCTCAAGGTTGTTATTGTAATCGTTCTATTCTATTTCCCCCTGTTCAATGTCTCTTTTAAAACTTGCTTTTTGGCATATTCTTGTTTTTCAGATACATTTTGGAGAGAGTAGCATGCAGAAGTGTGAAATCATGCTTAATGATTTGATTGATTCCAAGAGGACAAATACCAACATTAAAACAACCATTAATAAAACATCTCAAATAGGTATTCCCTGGTTTTGTAGAAGTTGTAGATATTGATAGCTTGGCAGCTACTTATTCTACCTTCTAACCTAATCTGTTTAACTTTTGTTGAAATTCTAAGATCCAGAATCATCAGAGGCTGGTATTTCCTTGGGTAATCTTGCTGCTACAATCATATCTTCGAATTTCTGGCATCCAATCCAGGCATGCACTTCTTTGATACCGGTTCTTTTTTATGTTCATTTATTAGAAGTTACTTTGCACTTTGTTATTGGTGGTACGAAAAGGTTTAAAACGTCTTAAAAAACATTTACAATATTATTTTTCCCTTTTCACCTTTCGGCTTTAAGTTTATTATTTGTCAAAGCCAAAGTGCTCTTTTGGTGAAGATATTATTTGATCAGAGGAAGAGCTAATACATGCTAGTTAGAGCTCTGTTTGATTTGTGCGTTTACATTTTGTTATTGGTCCCTTATATTCAATTCAATTCAATTCATGCTGTTTAGAGAAGTAAAAAGCATTAAGAAGGAGCACCAATAAAAAACAGCCTAGGGAATCAATCAATTATACCCAAAGAAATTGAGAGAATTGAATTTTAATCAATCTTCTTAACGTGTAACCTATCATGCCACCTTTAGTTATTCGTTTTCATTTCTCCTTTGATTTTCGTAAGGACCATATCTGTGAAGAGTGCATAACTTGACAGCGTCCTGAAATGGAGTATAATTTAGAATATGGTTGGCGTCCAAAAAACTCGTAGTTTCCTTGTTGCCCATGCTTATGTTATTTATCAAAATCCATTTTTGTTAAAAGTAATCTAGTATTTCTCATTACATTGGTCATTCTTTTCATTAATGTTCTGAAAATTTTCAGGATGAGGCCCTTATCATTCCTGATTCCGTTGATCAACTGCTCTCTGATTATGCAAGAAGGTTTCATGAAATCAAGACTCCTAGAAAGCTACTTTGGAAGAAAAATCTTGGAACGGTCAAGGTTAGGTCTTTTAAAGTGTAATTTGTGAATGCCAATGAATGTCCTTTCTAGTATCAGTTATTCTTATTGCATTACCCATTTTCTTTTCCTCCATTTTAATCACGTACCTAACATTTATGCTTATATGAATGAAACTGTTCTAGTTGGAGTTGCAATTTGAGGACAAGGCAATGCAATTTACAGTTGTCCCTGTGCATGCGCCAATAATAATGCAATTTCAGGACCAAACGAGGTACTTTCAGCAATCTTGAACACTTCGCATCTTATTGTTCATATGATAGTCGTTTGTTTGTTATTCACTTTCAGTTGGACCTCTAAGAATCTTGCTGCTGCTACTGGGATCCCTGTTGATGTGCTGAACAGGAGAATAAGTTTTTGGTTAAGTAAGGTGTGTTTAAGTAATTCATGCTCTTCCATATAAAAAAATAGTTCCTGTTCAAAATTATGAATTATCCTTTTGGCACTCAATAGCCTGTGGCTACCCCTTGATTTTCAATGTGTTTCTATCGTAATGCAAAAATGTCTGCCGCTCAAGATATTGATAAGAGAGTAAATTTTCCTTTGCAATTGTGGTTTGTAACAATATTAGTAAGTTGATGCAAATCTTCCTTTGCTTAGTTGCAAGCTTTTTAGTTATTTCTTCATAAGTACATATGCTGCTCTGGTTTGATTTGTTGTTGGTACAAATTTCTTTGTATTTTTCTTTGCAAGTAGAAGCTAAAAGTTTGAAATAGGTTGAAATTTGATATTGTTTGGTTATCATAAGGAGAATCATTGGAAATTGAAGTCTATATACAAAATTATTATCCTCTCTAAATCTTCTATCCAGGGAGTTCTTACTGAATCAGTAGGAACAGATCCTAGCCACCATGTGTTTACCCTAGTCAAAGCCATGATTGATGCTATTAAGAACAGTGGTAATACTGGAAACTGTGGGGAGCTTTTAGCCGGTGACGAGGAGGCAGAGAGATCCGTGGCTTCTGTTGAGGACCAACTATGTAAAGAAATGACCGTATTTGAGGTATGTGGTGCTTATAAATAGTTTTCCACGTCATTTTGCTTAATGATGCTCTCTAACCAAAAGTTGGATCACTGTAGAAATTCATCTTGGGTATGCTCACAAATTTTGGTAGCATGGCATTAGATCGAATTCATAATACTCTCAAGGGAAGATGATTTTAAGATTCCACACACTTTAAATTGAACGAGCAACATAATTGCTAACCTAAGACTCCATTTTCCTTTTAGATGTTGTGTAGCAGACCCTCCATATGATAAATCACTCCAACAGCTGCAGAGCTTCTTATCAGGTCTAGTTTCTGAAGAGAAATTAGAGCTCAGAGATGGAATGTATTTTTTGAAGAAGTAATTAGCTGATATAGTCACCGGCCTATTAAGCATTTAACAGGCAGCACCGGTAAGGATAATCATAGGAAGTTGAAGAGTGCCATCCCCTTTCCTAATTGTATTCGATACTCATTTTATGAAGATTATGAGATGCTTTTTCTATTTGTATCTTGTTGGTTGCTTTTACATTTTATAGATTCTAAAATTATCTCTGTAAGAGGCGGTCCTGCTCTATTTCTGACAAGATTTATTCAGGGTTGGACATAATTTCGGGTTGTTCTTGAGATTGTTCATATCGCTCTGTTGATGATACTTGTCTGAATGACATTCATGGTTGAACTCTCAAGGTCGGAACCCTGGTTGAGGGGATGCAATCTACTGTGTTTAGGGAAATTATTGAGGTCGAGAGATTAGTAGAATTATTTATGTATCCTTTTTAGTTTCCTCTGACTCAATTGAAGTAAATTTGTTCTTATGTGTAAATAGTCCCGTATAATGCAAATCTTTTGAGACATGTTATAGCCATCGCACATTTAGTTTTCACTTTTGGTATATTTATGGTTTTAGTCCATGGAATTTGGGATTTAATTTATATTTTTTGATTTGGCCATTTTCTCTTGTAAATTTAACTACGTGACTTAGCACGATCTAAATTTACCAATGGACGGGCCTGCTTTTGAGTTTAATAAAAGGAGAATAACATTAGAAAAAAATATTCCCATTTGAGGTGATCCTAAATTTAATTGGGTTCTGATTTATTTGAGTCTCAAACAATCATTTCATCCATTTTCATGTTCACACTGTTGGGAAATTAAACTAGTAATTTTCATTTGTAACCAGATTAGTGAGAATGCGAAATAAAAGCGGAATAATAACACACGAAATTGATAAAAGAGTTCGATCAATTATGCCTACATCTCCAGATTGTAACAGATATTTTACTAAAAATAGAAAATTTACAGGTATTTAAAAAAAACACTCACAACCCAATTACATCATGAAAATTGCTCTCAATTTTCTCTCACTAAAACTTTTCTCTCTAAGCTTTTCTCTTGTGTTTTTGACTTGGATTGATTAAGAACTTGTTGGGGTGAACTATTTATAGATGCAGAAGTTTCCTATTCTATTTCTATCAATTAATTCATTTAATTGGTTTTTCTTATTTTCAACAAAAGATGCACCATCAATTGGTTTGTTGGATTGCCAACTAATTTCTCCTATTGCCATTTATGGCACCTGCAAATTTGACCAACATACACACCCTGCATTCATACTTCCTAGGTATACATCAAGGCTAATGGGGAGGAGATAAAGATTGTATTCTGATAGTTAATGAAGGTGGACTAAAAGATCCAACATTTATTCATACTAGTGTGTGTATGTGCACGAGCGCTTTCACTTTCATCGTTATACCTTGAACCAAATTTGGGTAAGTGTTCCCTCTTTGAGTTTATCAACCCTAACCTCGAATGTATCGTCAAAACTAACACGGAGAATGGTGCCATCACTTCCAGGCGCTTGACACTCAAAGCTGTTCATGTGACGCCACAACATACTGTCCAGTATCATTAGGCTGCAACTGCAAGGGAGGTGCCAACTGTCAACACTGCTTTATTTCCGGCTCTATCTCTCAATGCATTCAACAGAATACAAAATTTATGCTCCAAACTGTTAGTTGCTTCCCTTGAAATTTATTGTTAAAACAATTTTGATTAATATGTTAATATATTTTTGGTTGAACATGAATTCGTTTGAGCAGTAAATAATGTTATAAAAATAGAGGATCAAATCATAAAAAAAAATTAAGTAAAATAGAGGGACTAAAACCATAGATATTCATGGCCATGGGTCACTTCTTACAAGATAAGGAGCCCCGGAAAGCTGAGGTCCATGATGGATCAAGGGGTACGGTCAACATTCAAAATTCATATTTTGCTCCATTCAACATTTCCCACACACATTATCCAAAAACCATGAGCTCCTTCACCAATTCAACATTTTCCATCCATGTCAACCACAACTTCCCCACACCTCAAAATCACCAGTGCAGCAAGCTCTCCCTCCCCGTTATCCCAGCATCGATTCAACCCCAACAAAACAATATGATAACCCGCAACAGGAGAAAAATCGTAACAACTTTTCTTGCTACTTCACTAGCAGCACTAGGACTGCATGGCACGCCCGTAGCGGTGGCGGAGAATTGGGGCACGCATTCGTTTCTCAGGGAACGTTTTTTCGAGCCCAGTTTGTCACCAGAGGATGCCGCCGCGAGAATCAAACAAACTGCCGAGGGGTTGCATAGCATGCGAGACATGTTGGACACCATGTCGTGGAGGTATGTCATGTTTTATATTCGACTGAAGCAGGCTTATCTTTCTCAGGATTTGAAGAATGCCATGAACACATTGCCCCAAGGTCGTAAAGATGCGTATGTGAAAACTGCAAATGAATTGGTGGATAACATGGCGGAGGTACGTACGTGCGTAGATTATGAATTTTTTGAAATGGCCAACGACAATTTCTTAATAATTAATCTGTTTTTTTTCTTTGATTTTTGTAGTTCGATTATTACATCCGTACACCAAAAGTATACGAATCGTACTTGTATTACGAGAAGACATTGAAATCCATAGATGATCTAGTGGCATTATTGGGGTAGAACACCGGTGCCAGCAGCTGGTGATATACATGAGCAATAGGCAATTTTTTCTTTCGCAGCTACTGTTCATACAATTATAGTTCCGTTACAAAAGAAAACACTCAAACCAGCTTCCAGTAAGATGTACTGCTGGGAATAAGCTTTTGAGTTATAACAATGGCTGATGACAGTGAATTTGTTTATATAGACATGTCAAGTATGTAGGCAATTTTCTTTTACACTGCAGTTCAATTCAAGTATAATAGCCTAAAATGGTACAATCATGGGCTGTTCACTATTCTCAGCAGGGTGTATTGAGAGAAAAGTGGAACTCCCTCGTGTTCTTGCAGCAGCAAGGATTCTCTGCATGATTCTAGTATAACAAATCCACTGATCATCAATTTTGCCTATGCTTCATCAGACTCGAGTGGTCTTGGTCCTGTCTGTCATGGCTTGAACCTCCTCCAACACTGATATGTGAACATTTCGAATTTCACTATCATAGGCGTAATATGTGAAAATGACAGATGAAGAGTTTGAGTAATGAGTATGGCATACGGAAGAGAAATCCTATCCGGTAATCATCCTCCGCTGCACTACTTTGCCTCATTTCCACATGCTAGACCCTATGAAGGAAAGCCGGCATCGATCCGGCAATGGATAAACAACTATGAAGATGGAGTTTTCAATGAAAAACTGTGGGTGCGTATAAACCAATAGTGGTGTTAGGTTACATATATATACATGAAGGCCTGTGTCTTGCAGTCAGCATACACAAGCCCTAAAAAATTAGTATTATCAATCACCCGAGAAATTAGTTGTAGCAGCTTTATTACCAAGTTACAATAGCCTCATATACAAGCCTATTTATTATTGTTGTCATTGATCTTTTTGTTTGACATATCGTAATCTCAAGATAAGGATGAGAGTGGGAAAGAATGGAGAGGACAGAGATTGATTCTAGTTTGTATGTAAATATGAAACCAAGAGTGCTACTCGAATATGGTGATTAGAGGGTGACATGGGCTGAGGATGGCGTTTTTCAAAGCAACTTGGGGATAACATTTTCTCCGCCCACCACCCATCCTCAGCTTGTTCATTCACTCTCACTTGGGGATGCCATTAATTAATTATTTAAAAATATTTTTTGTTGTCCCTGACTGGAGGACATGATGTCCCTTCTTCAACCTCACCTATCTGTTGGTGTCGCTTTGGGGTATTTGGAACTGTCGGAACGTCTTCATATATGAAGGACGGCTCTTGCTTGGTTAGCATCTTATCACCCAAAACTGTACATTGCACTCTACGTATATAGTATGCTCCTCAGTCGGTCACGTGCAGACTGCTTCCGATCAAGATCAATGTTGATAGTGTTTGTATGCACAACACAGAAGCTTCGGCTGTCGGGATTATTTCTCGTAACTCCACTGGGCTTGTTCTCGCTAGTCAGGCATCGCTACCTGCTAATGGGAGTGATTCGATTTTAGTTGAGGCGCAAGCACTCACGCATGGCATTTAATCGGCTTGGCCAAGTGTAATTGTCGAGAACCAATGTTGTTGGACACGATGCTCAATTCTCATCTTACTGAAGGTTGTCACCTGCTTCACGAAAACGCCCACATCCGTGTCCGTTGCATTCGGCGTACTGCCAACCATCCTCTTGTTCATTAGACTGCCACTGCTCTCGTTTTTCTATTTTACTTGGGACTATCATGATTGCATATGTTCTTTTGTTATCAATGACGCCCTTTCTGCTAACACAATATAATTATTATTTAAAAAAAATGATTGCAAAATCATTTTTTTTTGGTTGAGAAAGGTAAAATAAACCGCCTATCTTCCCGTTTAGTCCACAATCAGCAGCTCCTTAGCTTTCTTAGGGTAATCTTCGAACAAATTGGTATCTTCATAATGTTTTCACATCTGTTTGACGATGAAATCAGCGACACGATTGGCCTCCCTAATTATGTAATCCAGAACAACTATCCAATTTCTCTTCAATAATTTTTCGATATGTTGAATCGTAAGCTTCCTGTGATCGGTTCTTAATTCCAAATCACTATCCAATTTCTCTTCAATAATTTTTTAATAATTTTTCGATATGTTGCAAAATCATATTTGAATATATATATATATATATATATATATATCATCATCACATATTCATATTCAAATTTCTATTATCCAAATATGTTTTAATTAATAAAGAATTTGGATATTCAACACGATATCCATCAGGTACAGATAATTAATTCATATTCGAAAAAGTAATACTCAATCTTTTGAGTTTTAAAGGAAATTTTGTGATCAAATTTCAATTTTACAAAATTTGTAGTTATCAAAACCCTATTACAATCCATGCTTGTATAAAGTGTTCTAATGGTTGCTATAAAACTCCACCAAAATGGGAACTCATGCATATGCATGTATTCATACAACTATCCAGACAAACCGATTTATGCATGATAGACATACCACACATGAAACCAGCATTAAAAGTAAACATATAGCCCTTGGAACAGCAATTGACAACCAGACAAACCATCAGGTATGCTAGTATTTATATTGTTTTTTTTAAAAGAATTTTTCGGCTGCCGAGGATCATCAGAAACTCCCCAGTCGGTGCAACCTGACCGTCGTCATAAAACTAAAGCTGCTAACGCCTACCATTATGGAACACATCAGTTCAATTCCACAGTTTAAAAATGATCATATCATTTTCTAATTAGTTAGGATTTCACATTTCAACTTTATGGTTCTGTTATAATGGACCAACACTATTTAGTCTCTCTTGTCACAAAAAGAAGCTTGACTACGAAAGTCACTTACCAATTGGTACATACAGCTTACCAGCTCCCAATCAGAGGAAGCCAATGATATAAACCACCTGTCAAAGTAGCACAAAGAACTAAAGTTGCTTACCATCAAACAGAATAAAAGAACGAGGAAGCAATACCAAGAATAAACCTATCCCTTGAATTTATTCCATTTCAGGTCTAGCTCTCTTCACAAAACAGCCCTTTAGTGATTTACAAGTTCATACCACTCTTATATCACTTCCACATTTCAAGCAAAGTCAAATCTCAGATCGTGGTATTAAGGAATAATTTTTAAAGCACTTTATTAGACGGAAACATAGCCTCTCCTCTTCAAGAGAAGAAAAGGAACCAATACACCCCCACCAAACTCCAGAAAACCATTCATTTTAGCTACACGTAAAATGTAATCAAGAAACTGGAGTATGATGACTGTTACACCTCTTAGGATTACGGCAACTTAAACTTTCCTATCCGATGCAGATCTCAAACCACATGCATACGTGAAAAATCAAGTACATGCTACCTTAACTCCCATTATAAAACATAAAATTCAATTCATCAGCCAAAGTGCCAAATGTCAAGGATACAAGTGTTTAGGGTTTTTACAAGGAAAGCAAATTATTAGAAACTCATTACAGAGCCTGAAAATCCTGAAGTCTGAGCCAAAAATGATTGAATGGTGATTTGCATCATTAAATGATCTTATTCTTGGTCACCCAAGACAAGCACAATGGTGGCCAAAGTAGAACATAAGTTTCTCAGACCCAATTTGTCTGGTCTTCTGGTCTAGGCTGGCTTCATTGGAAAGGGGAAAGGTCTGGCTTCAAAATTTGTGACAGCTGTTTAGATAGGGGAGAAAAGGCAACAAGTTGGGAAGGTGCAGTAGAATCCTTGGCATGGGATGGCTGGCAGGGTTTAAGATATCATTCTGCATATCTTCATGCAAAAGAATCAAAAGAACTGGCATATCAAAGCCCAATGTAAATAAATGGAATGAGATGCATTTACCTGTGGAGTCTAGAACCCAGGACTAATACCCATGCTTCCTATGTGAAACTTGGTTTACATTGGACAACCTGGTGACAGCTAAAAATCAGGCAAGTCGTAACAATTGATATAACAGAAAATCCAAGGTGATCAAAATTTTCTAACTAGATAGGTAAACGTTACCCCCGACCGGAACTCTGACCACCATGATTTCCATAGATGTCACTTCCACTCTGGAAAATAAAAACATAAAACATTCAGAGGAAGTAAAATAAAACGTGAGATAGAAATTATGCATGCAGAACATCATAAATATGCAACGGGCTGGATAGTTAGATGTTGCACTTTAGAAAACACCTGGCCGCAATGACCAGATGCATCTTTGCAAGGAAATGTTAAAGGAGGAAATAAATGAAAAGACAAGCTTACAAGTGAACCACTATAAATTCCTTTATTGTCACTTACGGACAAATCACTAGTGCTGTATCCCCCTGAGTAAGAAGAGTATCCAAGATTACGTGGTTGACCATCTTTTTTACCATACTTAGGACCATCTGACGTGTCTAATGACATGGGAATGTAGGGAAGGACGGGCAAAAATGCTGGAGCTGCTCCTTCTCTTTCAAATATATTGGCTCTCAGGCGCAACAGTACTTGTGAAAAGGCATTGCTAGCAACATCCAAACTTCCAGTAATCTGTACCACAATAGAAGATTAAATTTCCATCGACTAGAGAGGTCTGATTATGATATTGAGTGATGACAAAGGAAGAGTGCATGTGCAGACCAAAAAGGATATTTATTCACCTGCACCATCTCTTCGTCTTCATATGCAACTTTGGGAAGGTTTTCCTTAGATAGTATGCGAATACTAGCCCTAGTAGCATTCCTCAGCCCAGATATTATCGCTCCACATTTACCAATAAGGCATCCAACCTGTGAGCTTGGGACAAGTAAACGGGTAGTGATTACAGAATCACCTGACTCTCCTTCTGTTTTTTCACTGCATCGTGATTGCAACCGCAAAGCAGCATTGATGGTAGGGGATGGGCCTTCAATAAACTGCAGATATAAATAATTTGGCATGTCAAAACTTTCTACGATAGAAAATCCCCAATGATAATGTAGCTCATTTTATAACTAATGTATTCTTACCTCCTTCGCTGATATGAATATAATGCAATCATCTCCTTCAGCCGCAGAGCTATCAACTTTAATAGATGCCCCAGACTCCTGTCTAATCTGTTTGATTATACCACCACCTTTTCCAATCACACCCCCAATGTTTCCAACTGGGCAAACCAAACGAAGAGAAAATTCCCTTTCAGAACCATCATCTCTTCTAGAAGAATAGTTGCCATAAGAACCAATAAGGGGAGCATTCATGTACATCCCATCAGGTGGATTCATATTAGATAGAGAGGAGGGAAGCAAGTGTTGGGATCTTGAAGGATTATCATGAAGGTGAGATGACACATGATACAGAGCCTTCCTCACTACTGAGGGCTCTCCAACTATCTGAAAACACCACAGAGAAATTCAATAAGTAAACAACAAGGCTGTGAGATGATCCAAATTCCCCTAATAAGCTGGGAACTCATACATATT